ACATATTACAAAACAACTATTTATCAAGATTTTAAGCATTTTCTCCATAACTAAATCTAAGCCCTTTGTGCAATTTTTATTTTATGTGTAATACAAAAGAATCTTATTTTAATGGATCAATTGGGCTGCCAGAAATTATCCATTGTTCCAAGAATCTGTTATATCGCCAACAATGGATTTCCCGCCACCCAGTAAAATATCCGCTATTTGAAAAAATTGTTTAACCACATTCATGTTTGTAACATTCACGTATATTATGCCATATGTGTGTATGACAAAGCTGGCAAAAACTGTACATACTGTAAGCATAAAAAGAGGCAAATTACATATGTTCATTAGCACTTTGTTTGACTTCACAATTTGTTAAAAAAAAAACTCGTCCATCTTGATTTCTTTTGATATTGCTTATATCAAGTGGTGTTATATTCAATGTCATGTACAGTACAGTACAGCCTGTTCATTTATGCTGAAACTCACCAGGAAGATCTTTACAACTTTGAAATACTCCAGGGCCTTGCTAAATTTCTGCACTACTCTTGAACCAATGAAAGTGTTCATTAGGTGACTCCTCCTCAAGTGTAACAGCCGAATGGCACTCTTTGTACAATTCTTCAATTGTATATATCCCAAATGTAACAAGTGCATCATCAAACTCAAATTTTCCAGAAATACCCAAATATTAACTAAATGTGAAAACTGCAAAGTTTACAACAGATTTGGAATAGAAAAAAAAATCTGTGGATCCAAGTAATGGATCTGCTAAAAGTAGGTAAAATTATATTGATTTAGCAGGACCTGGAAAAATATCAGTTATTCTGCAATCTGTTAAAATGAGATTCAGAATAATGCTTTGGATTTCATCTTTTAGATCAACCTTTGATCTAAAAGATGAAATCTAAGTACAGTCAACTCCCCTATAACGTGGTAGATATGTTCCACTTTATAAGAATTTCGCATTGTAGGAATCCTCAAATACATGAGCCAATCACAGCCCGGTATGTGTGCATTTTATGGACTATGGCTGTTTGAAAGGTTTTCTTCCATAAAATTAATCGATTCTAGACTAATTTCACTCAACATTTCCAAAACACGTATAATTTTTTGGGAATAATCTGTATAAACTATGCTATAAACAAAAAATTGTAGGATTACTTACCGAGTGTGCACTATTCGACCACACCATTGCTTAAGCTTGTTTTCATCACAGAGAGGCACACCAAACGGCAGCCATGTTTTCTGTGAAAAATTCATTGAACTTTGGAGACATCATTAATTAATAGAAATAATTTTTATGACCGTTGAATAAGAAATGTTTTTTTCACAAGAAATGTATAAAATTACAGTACTGTATTAGACTTACAGTACCTAATTTAGGCCTATATACTGTACAGATGATAGTAAACTCAACTTAACCGCCTAAACTCTATGTAGCATGTAATTAGTTCGGCTGCTTGTTCACTATTGGTCCAGATTTGACCAATCCTGTTGCGACACAAGTTGGTGATGACATTTTACCGCATTTTACAAGTCTCTTTTAGCGTCTTTATACGAATACGGTCGCAATTTTTTCGCCGCGATATACAAATCTGCATTATATGAACCCACGTTATAGGGGGGTCTACTGTAATTTGGTTTAGAGAGAAAAAATTTTAGATTGTAAAATTCAAATCCTTTCATGCTTAGCTTGTGTGAACATGAAAATGAAATGTCAGTCCCTTGCCAAATTATTTGGACTACTGAAGAAATCAGGGTAAAATGACACTTTTAGACAAAAATTTTGATTTTTAATCTGAATTAAAATTATTATTATACAACAAATAATGATAGTAAAACATATTTCAATTGTAATGACAAAAAATAATATTTTACTACTCTTTTGAGTTGTATAATAAAAATTTTAATTCAAATTAGACAAAAATTTGGATTTTTATTGATAAATTTTCATTTGACTCTGATTTCTTAAGTGGTCTTAATAGTTTGGCCTGGGACTGTACTTTAATGAAAGACTTGAGAAGATATATACATAATGGAATTAATGCTCATCTTTCCAAATGCATTTATGTAGAAAAAATATATAAAAGGCAGCTCATATTATGTGTTGATACAATTGATGTTTTCTGTAAAATTAATATTTTTAATAAAATACGAAAATATATTTTAAAATATAAACTGACATTTGTAAAGCTTCGAAAACATTACAGTAGAATTCTATACTCAATCTTCAGATTCTGATTCATATTTCTTTAATAGCCAGGTAAGTAAAATGAATTAAAGTAACACAGAGAAAGTATTGTAATCAGTCAAATTTTGACCTTCAAGTTCTTTTTGCATGTCTCAACATTATTTTTTATTCGAGACCTTAAAAACAAAATTCTGTATGCATGTATGTGTTTGTGCCCTGATACATAAAACTATTTTGGTTTATGTATCAGACCCCATGGACCAAAAGTTTTGAAATTTGACAGGAATACTTCTATCTATATATATAACCCATTCATTTCGTGTCCGTCCCGTAACCGTTTCATAACGGACACTAGAGGCGCCTCTATCGTGTGTCATATTTCAAACACCAAATTAAATTAACAATATAAATTATTATTATTCATTTGGCCAATAAATTATTATTTGGTCAATATAACAATATAAATAATTCAGTACATTTGTAATAGGAATTTATTATTTCAGGGGCTTATATCTCGCGAAGGGTCGCGAGTAGGGGTATGGTTCCTTTGACTTTATTGTTCGCACGGGGGCTACATTTTGGGGGGATCGCCACTCCTTCATTCGGAGGGTAAATCTTACCATTCGGACTTTTACAAAGCTGTAGAGCATATTGATGGAACAAAAAAGTCAAAGGAACCGTGCCTCATGGAAATTTGTAAAGAACGCCCACTAGGGGGCGTCCCTGGCTACTAGTATATATATATAGAACATTGGAAAATGTATTGATAAGAGCATCAAAAAATATAAGTCAAGGAGGAAGATAGATGGGGGTTAGGAGAATGAAATTTTGACTAAAATTTTCACTGCAAGTCTGACTCCACTTATTAGTGTCATATATGATTTCTTAAAACTCATCCCTACCTCAAAAATAAGACTTACCTTTCTTCTACTTTTTAGAAATTATAATTGAAAATGATCAGACTTCTTTCCTTGTATCCTTAACCTCCTGTTTGAGTACTGGGAAAGTCATGCACAAGTCCTTACCAACTTTTTTCTAGTATCTTTAAGAATTCCAATTTCTCTTAAAAAATTTTTTTAAATATTTCTGAAATGTCCCATCAAAACAATAAGTAACTCAGTTCTAGCATTTCAGAAATAAGCANAGACTTACCTTTCTTCTACTTTTTAGAAATTATAATTGAAAATGATCAGACTTCTTTCCTTGTATCCTTAACCTCCTGTTTGAGTACTGGGAAAGTCATGCACAAGTCCTTACCAACTTTTTTCTAGTATCTTTAAGAATTCCAATTTCTCTTAAAAAATTTTTTTTAATATTTCTGAAATGTCCCATCAAAACAATAAGTAACTCAGTTCTAGCATTTCAGAAATAAGCATTTGAATGGAAAATGAAATTTGACACACATTATAAAAACATAATTTAATATATGAAACAGTCATTCTGTTTAAAACAATAATATTTTTTAAGACCTATTCAGCTTAAATTAACTTAAAAATACAATGGACCTAAGTTTACAATACCAATTTATTTTAGAATACATGAAAAATAATACATATTTCATGTTATCATAAGTTGAGATGTTTAATAGGGCTATTGTAAAAAAAAAATAAACTCTTAATTAAATATAGTATATTAAAACTTGATAATAAATGACTTTCTTGGCTTTATAACTATGATTTGAAGGTTAAATAAATTATAGTAGTTATCCAAAAATATTTGCATTTGCATTCCAATGATTGGATTATCTACTATCTATGCTCATCAATATGACTACTTGGTGGCAATTATATGCTGAACTAATTGTCCAGTAGATTTTTGTATTTTAACTTGTGCAGAAAATCAAAATTTTTTATACTATTATAAATTATTCTTTTTCAATTCATTATGAAACAAATAATTTAAATAGAAGAGTATCTTCCAACAGAATCAGGTATGTGTACAACTATGGTGACCATATTTTTTGGGGGAAAATAAAGGACATATCGAAGAAAATTAAAAAATCTTATAAAATTCATAAGTTTATAACATTTATTACACATACATACACATTGTAAAAATTCAAACAACATTAATTTTGATACTTTTCAGTAGAATTAATTTTTTTTAATAGCACTGGTTCACGCTTTAAAAAGTCATAAAATTCTATACAGTTCATTTGAGAGTTGTATTTGACAGAAATAATGTGCTTACTTTTAACTGGGTTTTTTCATTCGTCCACATATTATTCACCAATAAAAATATTCATTTGACAATGCATTAGATCCAGGGAGACAAAGAAAATTCTATGATTTTACAAATGTTTTTGAAAGCAATTTTTTGCTGTAAAATGTTCAAAAATCTCAACCCACTTTTGATGGCAGGGCTTGTTATTCTGTCGCCATTTGTCGATCTTTTCGTTTGTGACATATTTTTTTACACAAAACTTCATCAAATAATTCACTGTTGAGTATATTTACAGACCAATGATTCAAAATAAAAATCTAACTTTCCTCTACCTTCACCCACAAAGGGATTTTGAGTAATCCCTTTGGATTTTTATTGATAAATTTTCATTTGACTCTGATTTCTTAAGTGGTCTTAATAGTTTGGCCTGGGACTGTACTTTAATGAAAGACTTGAGAAGATATATACATAATGGAATTAATGTATTCCATAATTCCATTTGAAGCAAAAGTCATGCTGTGCATTGGTTATTTCATAATGGAATTAATTCTATTATGTAAATGATTCCATTTACATAATATACATTAATAATGGAATAAATGAAATACATTAATTCCATTATGGAATTAATGTATTTCATTTCATTTCATGAAATAACTAATACACAGCATGACTTTTGCTTCAAATTTAAGAAGAAATTTGTACTTTACTTTGGGAGATGCTTGATTTTCATTGCTCACATAGTAAGTTTCATTTTCTGTAATCAATTTAGATAACAAGAAAAGTACTTCTTGTTATCTAAATTCAACTTTCAAGTTCAAAATTTCTCATGAGCTATTGCTGTTGTGTTAAGATTTCAGCAATTTTTTTCAGCAGTACTCTGTGACCCTTTCTTTAAGTGTCTTATCTATGTATATTTGATGACAGTTGAACCTTTTAGTTGCCTCTAATCTGACTAACTGCATCTTTATTGTCAAATATTTGCCGCAATTCCTTCGGTTTTTAACATTTATAACAACTGGCTTCCACTTCCTGGCCTTATTTTCCACATTCCCAATATTAAATACTTCTTCAAAATATGATACTAATATAATAAATCTGTAAATTATTCTGAGTATTTAATTAGATAAGTGGGACAAAAAATTAATTTTATTTGGTGATATATATATCAATACTTTAAACGTTTACAAAATATGATGAAAAAGTTTGATGAACTATGTTGATGCAACCTTATTCTGGTACAAAATGCCTTTCCTATAAAAATCAAGAGGAATGAAATTATAAATTAATATGAATATTATCCCAAAAATGATCATATTTTGCAATTAAGACTAAAGCAACCAAAGCTGAATTAACGGGCTAGAAGTAGCTATAATAATAATAATAATAATAACAATAATAATAACTCTCCCGTGGTCACCACCTGGTCGTGGTAGGAGAGCCCAGTAATTTTACTGAACCATAGAGCAATGCAGGCTGGAGCACAAGCTCCTGGTAGGGACACCCATGCTAGTAAGGTCTATGGGGAGAAATGAAGCTAAGAGTGACCACACACCCACATTCTGTGGAGATATTTATGATGGTAGTAACCAGATCTAAGTATGATACCGGCTCGGATGTCGCCTGGGTTACAAGGTCCGCGTTCGTGGGTTAGGCAGAGGCTCATGTTCAAAAAATAGGCTCCAGTCTCCCTTGGTTACCGGTGGCGAAAGCAGCGCCGGCCCAAGCATGGCTACTGCAATGCCCTCAACAGATGT